GCCCCCCCCCCCCCCCCCCCCCCCCCCCGCCTGCAGGACATCAAGCAGTCCCAGAACTGTGTGGCTCTGGGGCTGCTTGCCATGTGCCAGGAAGCCTCAGTTGCCCTAGCCCACGCCAGCAAGTGCAAGCAACACAGCAGCCGTCTCTCTCAGTTCCTTGCAATGATCTTCCATCTCTTCTGTCCAACCGTGATGCTACCTGGAGCTCCAGTTTCTCTGGCAAATGCTTCCTACACATGAGTGCCCAGCCTGCCCCAGCAGCAAGGCACCTGTGAACCCCAGCAAACATTCATTCACCCACCTGCCTTCTTTCCCAGGTTCCCTCACATCGATCTTTCACCTTTGTTGTCTTCAGAACGCTATGCCGTCTTGATAAAGTTATGCTCCCTTCTGCAAACCACACTGTCTTTTCAAAGACTTTCCAGAGACAACACATATTTACAAAGGCAGTACTGTCTTCATAACGCCTTTGGAAAGACAGCGCAGCCTCATGAAGACAATGCAGCTTTACGAAGGCTGTGCAGACTTCAGAGACCCTTTGAAAAGACAGCGCAGCTTTATGAAGCCAACACGGCTTTACAAAGGCTCGGAGAGCTACGCGTAGGGAACATTTTCCAGAGAATCTGGGTTTGAAAAAAAAAAAAAGAGACAGCAAAGGTAGCAAGGCCCAAAGCAGCTGGAACAAAAGGTGAAAGGTCAGTGCAGGGATCTGAGAGAGAAGGCAACTGGGTGAATGAATGCATGTTGGCGCTTGCTGAGATAGCTGAGGCTTCCCAAGGCATGGCAACCAATCTCAAACCTGCTTGCACCCAGAGTTTGAGATGGGCAGCTACATAAACTGAATAAATAACAAATTGAAAATTACCTGTATGTGCACAAAAAATCAGGAAAGGCCCTTGGCGTGGCCTAATAAACTTTGCAAATGATGTAGCTGCCTCAAGCAGCAGGTTCACAGAGGTCTTTGCTCTTTTTATGAGGCTACCATTCTAAAAACCTGGTGTACGGTCCTGGACATTATCTCTCACAGCCACTATTTTATTAAAGGGGAAACCTTTCAAGCAGCCTTCTTGTAATGCCTGAAACACAATCATAAAATTCTGCATGTGCCCATTTTCTAAATCTGAAAATGCAGATCCCGAACTGAATTACTTTTATGACATTTTAAAAAGACTAAACAAGACCTTTAGACTGTAACTATCCACAAAGAATCATAACTCAAAAAGAAACGCCATATTACTTACAATCAATTGCTTTAAGCCCTGAAAAGACTGCTCCACAGAGTTGGTATTGAGAACTTGTCTTTTCATTGCCTCCTGTTCACCAAGGAAGCGGAGCATTAAATCTTTAACTGCATCACCCTAATGGGGGAAAAGAACATAATATATAGCAAATATTATATATGGTATGTATTCAAGATATTCCATCTCAGTAAAAGTGTCTTGTATGCTTGGTCATACAATCTATTTCTGTGAAAGGAAATTTTTAGAGATCATTACCTTGAAAATCGAAAAACATTGTTTTAAGTAGGATACTTATCACCTTCATGTTCTCTAACACAGCTTATTACCTCACACTGGGTTTAGATTCTCTATACTAACTCCTTTAAATTTCTTCAATTAATATTATTTGGACTAGGTTTAGCTGATTTCACTAAAAGATACTGAGAAGACACAGTAGAATTCTAGAACACCACAATTCTGCTCAAACCTTACTTTGTAGCTAATAATAGTTACAGGGACCAAGGTGGCCAAAATAACAGTAGCCAATCTACCTTTTGGAGAGTGATGGGATTCTTCATTCCATAAGGAAATAATGGCATAGGTCCTGACTGAAGACCTCATCTCTCTAGTTTGATCTCAGCAGGTTCTTACTTGCCTTTTCTGAGGGCCAAAATAAAAAGATTAATTACATAGTTCTACTCCTGAGTGTGAGGTCTCTCTTCTCTACAGGATGCAATCTATATCAGAGCATGCTGTGAGGGGAAGGAACATTAATCATTTGGTCCTGCTGGGTTTTCAATCCAGATTTGGCCCCTGTGGTTTTCACTGCAAAAAAAAAAAAAAGGTTCCTCAAAATAAAAAAGAACATTTTAGGCATTGACCCTGCAATCTAAACTTGGACCACAGCAAGGGGAGATAGGGTTAAATCCATCCTAGGAACCTAATCTGTATTAGATCCTTCCCATCTGTGGCCATCTGTGAAAGAGAACTATACAGACACTAGGTCATTTCTAGGAAGTCTGGAAATAAAATTTATTTCATTCAGGTTGTACATGGAAATTTTCTCAGTGCCCTTCCTGATGAACTAGTCTAAGGATGCTTAAATTGATTTTTCTGGTCTTTTGGTACTGTTATCCACCCAGTTGTGTTACAGTATGATAACATCCCCCCACCTCAGAGTTTGAGGGCCAATGACTTACTCCTCCCAATAGGCTGCCAAATACTTGATGGCAGATGCTGTAATGGCTGGATAGGGTTGTGTGTTGTTAGATGAGTAGGGGTTTGCTGGTGTGAATGTACAGTACATCGAGGGGGGGTGGACATTTTGTTGAGAGGCAAGAAGCAGGAAGGATGTGGGAGAGGTGATGGGGAGGGAGAAGCATAGAAACCATGATCGGCATGAGGTGATGTGGTGGATTCAGGACGATGGGATGTACTCAAGTGATATCAGATTGTCTGGCTGAAAGATCCTGACCCAATCCCTGGAGGTTGTGCAGGTCTGGATGAGGAGGAACAAGCTCTGTCTCAATCCTGAGAAGACAAAGTAGCTTCATTTTTTTGGCCTCCTAGTTCCAGAGACATTCCATCTTTACTTTTTAATGGGGTTGCACTTCCAAATGAGACGAACATGAAATTTAGGGTTTCTCTTGCACTCACAGCTCCTGCGCAAAAAAGGAGGTGGCAGTTACAGCCAAAATTACATCTGGTACATTAATGAGTTGGTACCTGGATCGGAGAAGTTTCAGACATTCACTCACATCTTGATCAACTCATGATTGACTGTCAGCCCCCCTAGAGGAACCAGGCAGGAAACATAACTAAATGAACTAATTCTACTTTCTTGTAAGGCTACATTAACAAAATCTTGCAAGTCTGAAAGTACAGTTTCTGACAAGTCTGAAAGTAAACTTCCTGCCAACCACTTTTAATTGCCTGATGCATTAATGTGGATCCATCCCAAGTTTCGTTCTCTGACTGCTAAGCCAATGGAGCTTGCTACCTCTCTTCTATGATTGTTCCCCAAGGACATCCAATTTTTTAAAAAGTTTGCTTTATTATAAGCTGTCGAGAATAGCCATGCAATCAGGTGGACTCAAAATTGGAATATTAAATTAAATAATTTTTTATTGTGAGATGTGTTACTAGTAGGCATGGTAAAGCAGCTGATCTATTTTATGAAGAGTATTGGGAGCTCAACCCTTATACTGCCACCTTAAACATTTACAATTACAAGCATTATTTGTTTATAATTATAACAAGACCATTGTTTCTCTTTGTCTGAAACCTATTTGAACTATTTTCCTGAAATTGGCACCTCATGATTACAATCACAATAAATTTCATAATACTATGTCCCAAAGCAAAATAATGATTCCTTCAAAAAAGAAAACATATTTTAAGTAAAGATAGCTCAAAATATCTCACACTGGTTTCTACAAACCTTAAGACACTTCATCCCCTCAGTGTTTCTCAGGTTTAGTGTTTTTGCAAATTTCATCCCACTTTGGTGAACAACAAAAACACCATACAACTGTTTGAATTTTTACTTGCTATATTGTTTAACAATCTTGCTCCTTTATTGATCCACACACAACTACTTGCCAAGCAGCTCCAGGTTGGATGGGCTCTACAGACTCGTAATTGTTATCCATCTTTAACATTATTTGTAATGGAAAGGTGGAACATAAGCAACATGTAAACGCAGATACCAAACGCTCTATGTTTGAATTTATTAGATAAGATTTCAAGTGACCAAAAGCAACAGAGGATTCTCACCTGAATATTGTCAAATTTTAATCCCGGCATGGTCACATTCTCCTTGTCTATGAAAATATTATTATATGGCTGGGTAGCTACTGAAATCAACACACTCCTAGTTGCATCACTAGGAAGCCATGCATCATTTCTTCTGTCCACCTCACTCATGTTCAGCACAGAGGCAAAAGGGTCATCGCCAACTTGAAAAACAGCTTGAATCTGGGAAAATGGCTTTGGAGACTGAGATATTTCTGGAGAAGACGCAGATTTCCCAGGTTCTGATCTTCCATTTTTAAGACCATACTTATGGTTAGCAGAGTCATGCAATTCCCCAACTGTTACAAGAGAAGACATTTGTTCGGGTACGGATGTGCTTGCATTGGGGTTACTGACCGAAATAAACGATGATGTGGTAAAGGAATCAAAAAAATCAGAAGCTAATGTGTTATTGCTAATGGCTTCCCCAAAAAATTTGCTTAGGCTTGGGCTAGGCTGAACCACCTGCGGATGAATTTTCACGGGAGTCTCACTTACAGCCCCAAGGCTGGGTGACTTCACCATTTGAGGCTCAAAGCCATCGTGTAGAAACTGTTGCTGACCAGTTGTTTGATTTCCCTGGCTAAAGATTGTACAGATAGGAATAGGTTCTGAATCAATTGGTGATTTAATGACAACCGGAGTAGAAATGATTTCCTCTGGTTTGCTTTCATCAACCATGGTTGATGGAGACTTTAAAAGTTTGTCACATTCTGCTTCCAGTTCGTTTTTTGCTGACGTCTGAATCAGATTTTCATTTAAAGAGGACTGATAATCAATTCTCGAATCAGAAATACTTTTGGCAGTAGCTTCAAGTTTTGTGTCCTTCTCATTTCTAATGACTTCATGTCTTTCTAAAAGCTCCTCTCCTTCTATTGCTTCGGTATCATTTGCTTCAATTTGTTTTACTATTTCCTGCAGGCAGCCAAGATCACCAGTATCATCTTCACTATTATTTGGAGAATCAGATATCACAACGCTCTCCATCATGTGCTCACTGAGTTTGTCTATGAAGTTACTGGAATCTTCTGCAATGTTTTCATTTTCTTCAGATGCAGATTCATCTCCTCCCAGATCAATGGTTTCTTCGTGGAACAGAAGTTCCTCAGAAGTCTGCTGTTGGATATCACAAATGTCAGTCATTGCGTTTGAACTTCTTACTCCAATGTCTTCAATACTGCTTTCTTGTTTTTCCATAGTTCTTCTACATAAAAAAAGAAATTGCTATTGATCAGTACTAGATATAGGACGATTTATGCATAAAGCAACAATATATACAGCCACTACAATAATTAAGAACACGGTTCAAGTTATGAAATACTTTATTAATATCTTGCTAACCCCTGCCCTTTTTCCTTAGCATGGAAGTAATGATTCTCATGGTTGAAATACTGGGTATCTTAACAATGAGCTCTTGACAAGCCAAAATATAGGATAGAACCAGCTGTGGCCCTTGGTCTCCATGACCACTCATTTTTCCACTTGGGAAAGTATTGTGATGCAAGGCCCTTTAACTTATCTATATACTCTATTTTACTTTGTTGGCTTGCAATGTCACAAATTCAGACTTGGACAATACAGTCTCTACCTTCAATGCATAGACTGACTATCTTTCTGCAAGAAGAGCTGATTGGAATGTTCTCTAGTGGAATTCCCATCTATCTCTGTATTCAGAAAAAGGGGAAGGCAGACTGCCAGTGCCCCAACTCAGATGCAGATGGACAAAATAGCATTACAGCTCTGAGTGAGAAGGAATAGAAGAAGAAATTAGAACTTCAAGTAGACAAGAAGGGAAATCCTGCATGAGAAAGCTCGGATAGAAAACACTAAATTGAACGGAGTTAAGAAGGGAAATCTTAGTATACTAAACCTTCTGTCACTTAGACAGCACATTAGGACTTCAATTATTTATTTGTTTGTTTCCCTCTTCCCAACTCTTTTGCAGATTCAGTAGGTGAAACAACAATCAGACAAGAATCAGAAAGAACAAAAAGCCATTATTTAACTTGAAATATAAATATAATAAATCCAGGCACAATAAAAAAATTAAATGACAATTCTGATTAACAGCTGAATTTAAGCAGACTATGTTAAAAACACACTGTGTGTCTATCCATCACACTATTCCATCTCAGGGTAAGCAATGTTATGCAGTGTACGGTAAAGGAGTAAGAACAGTAGGAAAAAGAAATTAAATGCACATGATACACACACCCAGAGAGAGATGGAGGGAGGGAGGGAGGGAGGGGAGGGAGGGAGGGAGGGAGGGAGAGAGAGAGAGAGAGAGAGAGAGAGAGAGAGAGAACCAAGTCTAATTTATAAGAACCCCATTCACTATTTTTTGAAGTTTTCATATGCAATAGTTGTCGGTAAAGATGTCCACGGATATTAACCTTTGTCATCCATCATGGCTTTGACAAACTGAGATGTTCATATTACGGTTTCTAAAAACACAAGTACTAAACTGTATTAGCAAATTTATAGAAGTCCTATCAGTACCACATATAGAATACCCTACTAATTATGAGAAAAGTGCCAGTCACTTTTGGACCATTTTCACAATGCATCATAAACAAAATGGTCATCACCAGGTGGTCCATATTGACTTATTATTGTCCATTGCATCATCGATAGAAAGTCAGTAGAGGCCATATAAAACTTTATTAAAATAGAAAATAGAAATGGTCAACATTTCTGAACCACGCCAACACCCTTCATTTTACCTGTGTCACATTCAGTATTCTCTGCTATTTGGCACATTGGTCCAGGTTACCTGAGGAACTGTCTCACCCCAATGGGATTGACCTACTCCACCCATCACAGCGAAAGGGGCATACTATGGACCTCATTGGTCAACGAGTTCTGTCTGGCAGGATTCAAGTGAAGAGCCTTTTCTATTATGCCTCCCATCCTCTGGAACATTGTGGTCCCCAAGTTGAGATCCGCACCCACTCTTTTGGCCTTCCAAAAGAGCTTGAAAACCGGGCTCTGCCAATTGGCTTAGGGCCCCAATGGGGGCATGTTGTACTGGAGGTGGTTAATGGATTGGGATAAATTCCACTTCTGCCCCATGTGCATCTTTTTCCCTTCCTTGCTTTCTTGTTCATTTTAAGTAAATTTTAACATTAATACTCAATAGTCTATAGACTCTCTATAGTCTATAGAGATTCTCAGTCATCCAGGTCATAGTTGTCCCAAAGGTTGTTTTTCAAGGGGCAACTGGACTTTCTCGTTTTTCTTTGAAGACATTTTGCTTCAAGAAGCTTCTTGGATGAGAAGCGAAATATCTTCAAAGAAAAACAAGTAAGTTCCAGTTGCCTCTTGAAAAAGCACCTTTGGGATGATTAATCTTTATCATTTTAATATTAATGTTTTGTTTTGTTTTACTTGTAAACCATCTAAACTGTTGGTGAGATTGGTGTCATATGTATTTAATAAAAAAAATAAAATTTTGACAGGTTTGCCACAAACACAACTGAAACTTAGTATTACTTCGAGCATATTTATGTTTTTCAATGCAAATCAGGAAGTCTAGTTCAGAGACTATCTTGCAAATCAGCATCCCACTACCAGTATGATATACATGCAGTGTATTGACTCACCCTTCGAATATATGTTAAAAGCAGCTATTGAAATGTATGCAGGAACAATTAATACATTTTAACAAGATACATCTTTATGATGAAATCAGAAACCAGAGTGCTTCTGCAGACTACCAGAGAACAAAATTAGGAACCCACATTATATCTGACCTTTGCCACATTTTTATTTTTTAAAGAATGGATGTGCAAATTAAACATACCTTTTACATTTGCTCTGGCAAAGTATCACTTTCCTCAGGCATATCACTTTAACTATGTCTCAGGGACCCATCTGTAAAATGGAGCATTTATTATTTTTCTAAGGCTACTTCTGTAATTATCAAGAGGCAAAGAAATTAAATGAACCATGAAGATTTGTCTATCAATCATAAAGATAGTGTCTGTGATTGACACACAGTTTTATAGATAACGTGAACACAATTAACATTAAGACACATTCATTTTGAAGCAACCCTTCTGACCCAGGAATTGCAGTGCTCCTACCCACTTTTGAACCTATTTCCTTAGAATTGTTTCTCAGCTGCAGATACTTGCATTTTTCATGACTGATTTCCTACCCTGTAACTTCAAAAAACACCACCATCAACCAAATAATTGCACAATCCTGTACCTATTAGGAAAAAGGATAGTTTTTTTTTACAATGTCTAGATTTTATGTATCGGTTTATTCTGTGTTTGCATAAGCAGCTCCATTCAAACCTAAGTGACCCAGGTTCCACTTAAAGAGTGGAGTGGAATAATAACCCATCCCATCTCATCTGATGGTGAATATCCTTATTATATAAGCCACCTTAAATGACCAAAAGGATAGGAAAGAAAAGCGATAGAGGAGGATATTCCCTCACCTATCCCGCGCTTTACTTCCAATGACAGCGGCAACGACGTCCCATCTAAACTACTGCAGAAAAACCGAATGTGTAAGGGGGGAAACGTCTTCGCCTAGTGCGCCTGCGCGTCCAGCTTCCCTTCCCTATCGACCCAGTTTCGCCTCCTTTACGTAAACGAGCGTCTTCGGCGCACCACTCCTTTCCCCGGAAGTGAAAGAAGTACGGTGGCCGAAGTGGGCCCAAGGTGTTTTGTTGTAGATTCGCCTTCTTTCTCATTCGAAAGAGGGGTGGGGTGGGGGGGAAAGAGCTGAAACGCGGCGGCGGGGTTTCCCATCGCGATAGTGTTTGTGCCGGGGCTGTGGGTGGTGGAGGAAGGTGGCAGGAGTTGACGCTGCTGCAGCCATGGAAGATGATGCTCCCGTGATTTATGGGCTGGAATTTCAGGTAAACGAGAAAACAATGGATTGGGATTTATTTTTTTAATGGAAGAGGGAGCTGTTCATCATAATAGAAATTATTTTTTTTCTAGATTTTTTCGGTTTTTGCCCCCAGCAATTGTTTAGGAATTGGACCGGGAATGGGCATACAACTTTCAGTTATGGATACATATAGGATGGCTTCGGTGCAAGCCTCTTTCAACGCAACCAATTTTACAGAGTTGCTGTTCTGAAAGAAATTATTGCAAGGAATGCTTTGCAAATTGCCTAAAAGGAAAAGTGGCTGTTAGATATGACCAATACATAAATAAGACAATTTACAGAAGGCAAGTACCTGTCACCTGTAAATATAATGAAATTTATGGATTCGTTAATGTGCTAAAGCTGTGAAATACATTTCATTAAAGAATATATGTCCAATTTCTCTTTCTATGTAGAGGTATTCCAAATGAAAAGACCTGTATTATAAATCAAAAGTGCCCTGTGTGCCCTGTGAATTTTAAACAAGTCTTGTTATTCACGAATAACATAACTTTTCATAAAGTTGGGATGGATTTCTGCAGATTTTTCTGCATCCCCTTCTCTAATTTGGCCTGTGACAGAAACAGTGGGATATTTTTAGTGTTTTGCACTTTTGGAATAATTAGTGTGTATTATTGAGTCAGGTTATATGATTTAGAGTTTGAAATAGTCTGGAAAAGTTTTCTCACAATGATATAAAGCCACCAAAATTACTTTGAAAATTATCTAGAGAAGATGCCTCCAAAAACAAGATTATTTTTAGCTGCATAAAAGTGCACAGTGAAATAAGCCTACTGATAACTAATTGCCACCAAAGACAATTCACCCCATAGTTTATTGCTGGCTTTCACTTCAGCTTCTTAAAATAAAGTGAAAATAAATATGAGAGTTACTTTCGGGATCCTTGATAAGGACAATTAGATCTCCAGAGTAAGGAATTGTGTTGCTTTATGCACCTGATTTCCTTTAATAGAAAAAACTGGCCAAACAATTCTGTCTTGATACTGGAAATTTTTTGACACTTCATTACCATGACAAATATTTGTACAATACATATTGCCTTGAATTGTAGCTAGCATTATCTTGGAGGAACCTTTGGTTCCACTGAGATTAAACCTGTTACAGAATTGAGTATATTTCTGTCCTGGTTAAAGTACAGTTTGGATATAGGCAGTCCTCAACTTACAACAGCAAGTGGGAATATCTGTTATTAAGTGATGTGGTCGTAAAATGAGGGTGTGCGAGAGGCACCAGTTGGGAAGGAATTCCAAACACTGTTCATAACCACCATTCAGTGCCATTGTGACTTCAAATGGTTGATGGACAGATGGCTGAGGATAGTCTGCGTAATGTAGGCCTGTAATCCTAAAATATTAAATCCTGCAACTCAAAGTTACCTGCTAGGGCTGAGCAAACCATTTTGAAGGAGAGATTCTTCGAGCCCACTATAGTCTTCAACTCACAAGTTACAATGGTATTCAAAAAAGTGACATATGACCGTTGTTCAGAGTTATGACCTTTACAGCATCTCCACCATCATGTGATCAAAATTCACTTGCTTAGCAACTGGCTCATATTGATGACCACTGCAGTGTCCCAAAGTCATGTGATCACTTTTCGCAACCTTCTGACAAGCAAAGTCAATGGGGTGGCCAGATTCACTTAACAACTGGGTTAGTAACTTACCAACTGCAGTGATTCACTTAACAACTGTGACAGGAAAGGTCGTAAAATGGGGCAAAACTCACTTAACAAATGTCTCACTTAACAACAGAAATTTTGGGCTCAATTGTGGTCATAAGTCGAGGACTGCCTGTATTGTATTTGGATCTCTCAGGCAGTTATCTCTCTTGAAGGTTTGGCCCCAGCCAGTTCTGCGGTCTTTTCCTGGCCTTCTGAGTGTGCATATGCCTACCCAGAAGATGTTTATGCCAAGATTGCCCTTAAAGCACAGCAGTCCTGAGCATCTTCCTAAAGGAACTCATAATTGCTTCCACTTTGCAAGCATATGGCTATAAAAATGCCTCTAGTTTTATCTGTCTTTGTAAGAACTTCTGTGGCTACATTCCAAAGCTGCCTTCTGTGAAAGAAGTCCCACTGAAATAAACTGATGCATCTTTTGAATAAATACATTTAATGTTGGGTTTTTATTTAGAAATCAGTAATGTCTATATCTCTCTATCTTTGGTTTAAAGAAATAGGCTGACTTACAAGTTATAAGGAAACAAAAATGACTTATTTACCTAAGTTTTAAATCTCTTCGGCATTGAATAGCTGTATTAATCACTCTGTTCTCAATTATAGTCTTCCCTAACGTTTAAATTAGCAAACACAACTATTCAGGAACTAGCTTAGGTGTCTTACTATAATTCTTATATCTATACTCTTTGTTTTAAACAAAGCACTTTATCTGTAGCAGTATGCTAGTGATTCAAAGGTGCATTTATATTGTACTTCATGGTGAATGGTTTATAAATACCACAGGTAAAGCAATTGAAATGTCTTGGAAATGGTGAATGGATTTAATTTTTGCTGGCATACATTTTACTAGCTATATAAATTTCAATGGGAATAAGATTAATTTGGATTGAATCCTATTCTGTATGTTCTTCAGTAAAACTTAAGGTGTTTTTTTTTTAAATACATCTGATTGGTATTTTTGGTCAAAAAGTAACATTAACATTTCGCTAACATTAAATCTTCTCCTTAAATTGCCCTTTCTGCAAAATATTTAACTTTGAACATCTGTGTAGTTGCTCTCACTTTCATGCACATTTCCCATAAATGAAAGTAGAATACATTCTGAAAATGGCTTTTATACTTTTTAGCCATAAATCAGGATTTTGTGCCAAAAAATAGAAAATAACCCATTTAGAATACAGACATATGAAATATATTTTTAAAGTGTGTTATAATGAATGATGTCATGTCACTGAAATGTGCTGGATATGACTCCATTTATATTTTTCACAATTTTTTAGGCACGAGCACTGACCCCACAAACTGCAGAAACAGATGCAATACGATTTCTTGTTGGAACTCAATCTCTTAAATATGATAACCAGGTAAACTTGCATAAATCTTGCATGAATGTAGAAACAGAATTGCTTTTAAAGCCTTTAACAGAATAATAATTTTTCCTCCCAAATTTTAAACAGAACTTTTGTTTATAAAATTAGGTGTTGTGTGTTTTGGGAGACTAAAAAACCCTGTTTGTGATAATAGTTAATACTATTGCAATTAAGACTTGTCTATATAAATAATGTGATTTAGTAAGAACTGGAAACAGAGAGAGGCATTAAAGGACATGATTGGAACTTAGTAGATAGTCAGAAGTATAGTGTTAGAAAATAACTTGGAGAAACAGTCATATTAACTTGAATAAGTGGATTGCTTTAGAAAGCATCTTTTTTCAAGTTCGGCCAGAACCTGAAAAAGTCATTTATCTTTATCAGCAGAGATATGCAGTCTCATATTGTCTGAAACACTTTTTCCAAACTGTTTTCGAACGGTGTCTAGTCTTCATAGTATTATTTTCAGGGGGTGTACAATATGTCTCACGTTAAAGGAAAGGAAAAGGAAAAGCAAGATAGTCCATGGGTAGAATTAGGAATTATTTCATGTCAAGTCTTCATGACACTGAGCCAAAGTGAATCAGTCACGAAGACGACTGCAAGCCTGATGATATATAACATAACTAAATAATTTAAAGCACTTTTTAAAAAAGCAAACGAACAGTAATAGTTCACTCCTTAATGATTCCACAGTTTATAAAGTGGCCCAGCGTTTCAGAAACAAAAAATATCAAGCAATTGCTGGCATTCACAACACTGTTTCTGGCCTCAGAGTAAGGGCTCACTGGATGCATTTTTTTTTAATTGATACATAAAACTCAGACAGGCAAAGTGAATATTTGTCCAAGTAATTTCATAGGTTTAAAAAAGCTGAGCAGGCTCTTTGCTCCATTTTTGTTGTTGCAAGGTCTTGGTATCCACTCTCAAAGTAGAGTATTTCATAATAACAAGGAGATGAAATAGATACTATATTATGTCATATTGCTGTTGGATGTTAATGGGAAAACCAGAGGTGAGGTGCTGTGGTATGTGATAGCCTTATGCCTTAGATCAGGGATCCCCAATCCCCAGGCCATCAATCGGTACCAGTCCATGGCCTCTTAGTAACTGGGCCACACAGCTGGAGGTGAGCGGCAGCAGGTGAGCGAGTGAAACCAAAACCATTCCCCTTCCTCCTCAGTCCATAGAAGACTTGTCTCCTACAAAACCGGTCCCTAGTGCCAAAAAGGTTGCGGGGACCACTGCCTGAGATAATATGTTTACTTCTTCCCAGTGACTGGTTATAGATCTACAGTACTTGAATCAGCCATGTTTGTACGTTAGCAGATAGTTATGCGCCTCAGTTCCTAAAGTTATTCTGAGCTGTCAAAGGGTCCTAAAATATTGCCGTGATTCAGACTTCCTGGCTGTATCTCGGCATTCTACCAATAATTTCTCTTTTTCCTGCTCCTGCTTCCCCTCTTATGTGTACCAGCATTAATAATTGAGGTGTAGGGCACTTTCCCTGGATGCTAATGAGCAGATAGGGTTAATGGCCTTTGGCAGTGCTTGAAGCGATCAGCTATGGAGTCGGTGATTAATCTATAAGAAGTGTCAGGAGCCTCTATCATGACTGCTTATAATTTAACAG